TACATATGGCGAACGCAATCATTACGACCTATATGAAAACCAAGTGCTGTAGTTTAACGACTAACCGTGACGTCACCTGCATTGTTGATTGTGATGTAAAACAAAGACAACGCGTTGCTACTTAAATAATTGCATAATTCACTAAAATCCTATTAAGTACGATTATAAAATGATTATTTTATTGGTTTTATGAGTTGCTGAACTGACGTATTAATATCATAGCTCATTACACCCACCTGACACCCGACTAGCGCGACCTCGTCACTTGGTGTCCACTCGTCGTCGACGAGTGGTTAACTAGAAAACGATACGACAGACACGTTCGAGGTGAAGAGATATGCCGCCGTCCTTGCGCGTGAACTATTCGTGGACAACCCGCGGGCAAGGTTCTCCGGAGTTGATGTAGTGAGCATATACCCTTTGTTCGATACGAGGCGATGCTGGTCGCGTGTAGGTTGGCTCTAATGAGCTTTGACCTGTACTCGTACTCGTACCAGTACACGACTTGGCTTAGCTTGCAGCCAATGCGTATGTAAGTCACTCACAGTCACATCATTGATAAAGGGACCCTGTGTGGTCCATAACTAGTTGAACATCCCCAATATATACCTACACGTGATTAAAGCCTAAGCCCTATATTCCCAACTAATAAGTATATGGTTCCGTAGGTAAGGTCTGACTTCGCTCTACGCTTTCTTCCCCATATATGGGCCGGCTCGATCGGTTGATACCAAGGCCTTACAGTGAGTCGGTGTTAAGCAATTATTTCGTAGGTACGCACGTAGCTACATAATAACATAACATAAACACAAATGGGCAAATAATTGTCTTTTTTCACTGAGAAAAAAATTGTACAACAATGTCATTTTATGTATTTTTTCTATTTAATAAAACGAACGCATGTAAGATTGTAAGATTCTATTAAAATAATTATTGAAAAAAATTCTGATTACCATTATTGTGCCAAAAAAACTTGGTAATTTTCCGTGTCGTTCTCATGTTTACAACAGCGACAGTCGTTACGGGCCGTGAAGCCTGAAAAATTCGACTGTGAAAACTCTAGAAGTCAATTAAGATTTTAAATAGCTCTATACTAAATATAGTTAGTTAAGGGTTATTTATGTTTAGTTGAAATGGACATAAAACGTCAAAACTATTTCCCATATCGGTCATCCCGTCACCACATCGTAAAATATTCACCGTAACCCATAAAAGGCCTTAAAAAAATATAGTTTTAAAAAACTAAAAAACACGCTTTCTATAGAAAACCAACTTAAAAAATAGAAAATACATTTAAAAAAAAGCGTTGGGTGCCTGTTGTCAATAGTAAAAAGCACCCCTATTTATATATATATATATATATATATATATATATATATATATATAAATTATTTTCTATTTTTGTTTGGTTTTCTATAGAAAGCGTGTTTTTTAGTTTTTTAAAACCATTTTTTTTTATTAGTGTATTGTCATCGGTCCTCGATATATCTACAAAGTTTGTACGAATTCTGACCGTTTAAAGTCAGTCAAAATCACGCCCAAAGGAGTCGGTTATAAACATACAAACAAACATACAAGTGAAGCTAATATAAAGCGTGTAAAAAGGAAATTAAATAACTACAACATGACACAATACACTCAAGTGAATAGAGACTGGCAAAGAAAATACATCATTTACACAGTGCAGGCGTTATACGACTCCACCGCGTCACTGTCAGATGACAGTGTCCTTACTATTCCCTATGCTGGATAGAACAAAATATTTTAGATACGAGGAGTATCAGTGAAGAGCTTTGCAATTTTCATAAAAATAGAAGATGCTTAACGAGCACCTAACAAAGCGCATCGATCGCAGTTATCGTAAAGATTACTTAGAAATTTCGATAAATAGTCCTAAAAGCAATATGAGTGCTCAAAAGACATGTGTGAAGGCACAAGGAGGTTGAGGTTGACAAGTTTCATTTAAAGCCCAAAGCTTAATAATTTTGGCTTGAAATATTTGTGTGTTATAAGCGAGACAGGCATTCACAACATAGGCATACATCCATTCTTAGGCATTATAATCATAATACCTTTAACGTATAATCAAGTGCAATTTAGTACATTTTGAACAATCACATGAATTTAATAACTAGCTAAACTTACAGAATAAACAACCGCCAGGTTAGGCGATATTCTATTTCGTCAGTCTACAGAGGTTTAGTTCAAATATTTGTATGGAGTGCTTAATTACATTATAGCCGACTTTATTGTTTTAAAATGTTGTTACTATAATAAGTTATTCATCTAGTAATACTTATCCTCGTCAGAAAAAAGACTATTTTTTCATCGAACCAGATCCGTTCCCTGTTGATGATCAGGTGTCATGGCAACTGACCCTTAGCTCTTCCGCAAAAGAGCTAGTAAGAAGAAACTTAATTTTTTTACTATTTCGTAACAAAAATTATTGATTAAACGGCCATGAATGTCATAAAACCGTATCTAAATTATATAACAAGTTACAAGTTCAATGAATAAAATAGACCATTCGTGCGTAACAGTGCAAAAAGTCCGCTAACTTGACCTAAATTAGTGTCACACTCGGTTGCAATGAAGGGTCTTCACGTCTAATTTTTCTAAAGAAATATCTATAAATAACAGAGCGAAAGTTGTGGGCCATTTAATCCATTGAAAATAGTCATAATAGTTGTTTTTATATTTGTTTATAAAACTTCTTTGCACTGTATTATAGTTGACGTTCGTTACGTCTGTATAGTTCGATAAAAACAGTTATGTATTTTTTATGGACAAGTATGTTACGTAACATCTTTACTTGCTTACCCGAACTAAAATGTTTAGTTGAATAGTATATTGTACCTACATCTACAAGATATAGAATTTAATTTACACATAGACCTTTATACCTCTAACAATTAATGAGTAATGATATTAAAATTATGTTTTTAATTATTATTTATTTTATAAAAAGTTATTTGTAATATAGGTAATAAGCTTATTAATCATTTAAGTCATTATTGACTTGCAATAGATCAATGGGTATTTGTCCTTGTGTTTTCATAGAATTATTTTCTTCGTACTTTAGTATGAATAGAAGAATTAGGGTCTTAAAACCCAGAATTAACTGTCACGAAAATATGCGATGTGAATCTTAAAAGAAATACGTATTCTGGTAACGTACATAGTGTCCATGGAATTTAGAATTAATACTCTTGTATCGACATCTAAATTTACAAATTCTAACTATGCATACAAATGGCTAGGCCTTCTTGTGGTCATGACAAAAAAATTAAATTGATTGAGCCAGTGATTCGTGAAATAAACTGATTCGGTCTCTTTTCAGATAGCTATATTTAACATCAAGTTTACTATTTATAGACATTGTTAACAAGTAAATGTCGTAATGAAATTAGATCTAAGTTACCGTATTTAAACCTAATACCTAGTAGCCTTTTAAGTTACGTCATTTTAGACAAAAGTTGTGTTTAAAAAATATTATTAAAATAGTATTAAATATTATATTTAGTATTAACATACTGTTTCTTTTTACTGAAAAAATAGTAATACATAGTCAAATCGAATTCATTTACTTCAATAAACAAATTATATGTATTTTTTAATTGTCAGAAGTAGGTATTTAGACATCAGACTTGGTGAGTCGTTGCCAAATCCGCCGTTCGAATATACTGATCTTATAAAAAAGAATAGTAAAATAAAAAATCTACCGTCACTTCTTTCAACAAATATTTTTTTGTTTTTATAAGTTACTTTTTACATTGTTTGTATATTGTATATTGTCTAATAAATGTACCAAAATAACTGTCGTTACGAAGCTACGTGCCATAAGTATTTATGTAGTGAAATATGTACTCAACATCTATATATATAAATGAATCACTATTTCCTTTGGTCACGGCATCACGCTTGAAGGGCTACACCAATTTCGCTAGTTCTTTTAGTGTTGGACAGCCTACCTATCGAGGAACGCTATAGGCTATATAACATCACGCTAACACCAATAGGTACCGAGCATCAATAAAAAATTACGCAAAACGGGGAAAATTTATTCCTTTTCGGAGATCCAGCGAAGGTTTGCACAGGTCAGATAGTTTACAATATTTAAGGATAAAGAGTTTTTATTCTTATAATAATAAATACTATCAAACTGGTAATATCCATGAAACGTTCTAAGAACTTAATAATACGAGTAGTTTTTTAGAGTTTACCACCTAATTAAATACTGCTAAGTAAATGATACTCGAAAATGTTAAAAATACCATTATTTATATTGAATATAACTACTGACCTAAGTTAGTTAAGTACAATTAGTTACTAAGCTTATCATTGATTTATTTAAAAAATATTTTTTGTAGTCGTTTAGTTTCTTATTTGTGTAATGTCATGCTTTATTTGGGTTTACTTGAAGAACTGACATCAATTCTTAATGTAATTTGCATGGTGAATACATAACTCTGCTGATCAACATGAAGCATTAACAACATAACTCAATCCAAAAGGCATGACGACCTATTGTTTGTTAAGTCGTCTAAAAACTTAGAGGGCGTGCGTGTGCCGTGATTATATACATTCAAAAATTCTTATAGAAAGGAGTTGCAATTTCTTAATGTACGTGTATTTCGAAGTTATGTACCTACATATTAAATCTAATAGCACCTCAACATTTTTTTAATATTTCCATAAAAATAATAGTTCCAGTTACCTGTTCTTTAGATAACTATTTACGATTCTATCACTGCTTTACTTCATTATTAATACGTATAATTAAGTACCTACCATGAGCAAGTTGTGGTGCGAGTTATAATGTCAGAACGCTACTTGACTGATCCCCTTACCACCTATAAAAAGAAATGATTAGGTACTTATAGTGTAACAACATTTACAAATTTATCACGGAAGAAAATAAAACTCACAGAAGTTAAAACAGACAATATTAAAGGATGTACTACATTGGATGACGAATTTTAGATGTATAATTTTTTCAGAAACCACCAACAAATTGTTGTGAATGGCTGCGTACTTTCTTCGATGTTCGGTACGTCAAGGAGACCCTGATGGTAGCATTTAAACGAGGCCCAAACAATCGGAGACTGAGGGTCATCATGCTTGTGGCTGTGATGTGTGTTATTATTGGGCCTATTTATGGTAAGTCGTAAATTTATACCTAATCCCCTTCACTATAGTGCTGCTCCCATTTTGAGACATGATTTGCTTTGTCCATTTCAACCTGCTTAGAATACAAATTGTGCTACTAAACATTTTTTTTTACAAAATAAATTACATTTCTAATAAATTCATTTTCATTGTTTTTCTAATTTGTTTAAAATTGTGAAGTGCAGGAGCTCTATACCTTAATGTAAATACGTTTGGCTGGAACCCCACGATACAGGCTTGCCTAGTGTGGGGACCGCGTTTAATATTTATCTGATAAGATCTGCTACACTAATTTTATGTCTTGTTAAGCACTCCTGTAATTTATTTTCTTTGTGTTTCTAAATAAATTGTTTTAGAACTGCTTGTTTGAGGTTTAAAGATTAAGTTAAATTTTTAATAGATTTAGAGTTAAACATTAAACAAAATGTATTAAATAAATGTGCATATACTTAATATACATATTTAATACATTTTTATATACACATGGCCATGAGAAGAAATAAATTATTAAGCTTTTGTGAAATAAATTTAATACAATGTATTTTCATTTATACCAGTCATTTAATGAGAGAATCTTGAGAAATATTATTTTATCATAACATAATTTGAATTACAGCAATAAAATACAATTTTAAGGTGTATAAGAAAATAGATGAAGTAACTTAATTCGAATTTTGTTTTTTTAATTCTGGTCTTTATGTTCCCATCTTAATGAAAAAATGGTAATGGCGATGGTAACAAAATCTATTTATTATTAGATACTTCTTTGTACCCATATTAAATAATAAATGCATAGAAAGAAGCATTGCATATTGGAAATGCTTAATGTCATGTGTATACAAAAGAAGAGTAAAACGCTAATTTTTTTAAGCAGTATTGGCTATAGAGGTAAAAATTATGTAAAAACGGTTACAAAAATGTGGGTGTTCAGTAAAAGATTGATCTTTCATGATACAAAAGTCTATACCATAACATGACAGTTCAAGTTATACTGGTTCATAAAATCAAACAACTTCCAAAATTGTTGAAATTCGACCGCCAGGCGATTCCTAGGATTACCATATCTTTAAACAGTGACTGAAACAACAAATATCTACGAGTATGACTTCAGTAGAGTTTGTAATTAAAAATATATTCTCAGGACATCCCGCTCAGATAAACTACATAATAGATCAGAGAAAGCGTGTCTAAGCAGTTGTTCTAAGCAATTGTCTTCAAGCTGGCCTTCTCTAACCTTTGCATACCCATAAATTAACATGCCCTTGGCAATGAACCATTGGTTCTATGTGTGGGTTACGCTGCTGCACCTTACCCGTTAGATACGCCAACGCTTTCTCTGAGTTTCGCTTTCTATAATATTGCTTTATCGCCACATTTATACTTCCTAATAGTACCTATTTAGTTATTGTGCCTAATAAGTGATCTCACTAAAGTGAATTTATTATCTTATGGTAGTTAGAAACAGGCTATGATGACTGTGTAACTAGCACGGTAGTCTCTTTTTTGGCACTTGTAAGGTGGCATGACTGGCACGTTAGGCTCGAACTGATTAGAACAACATAGTGATCTGCTATCCGTCTTCCGCCGGAGCCTCGGGTGTACCATAGAAAGCATAATATGACATTCTAGCACTTTAACATAAAGTAGTTTTGTAGTGCCACAAGCATATAGAGTATTTGTGAACAGACATAACAAAATAGCAATAAGTTAATCAGTCAATAATCAGTCAATCGTCGATAGCCCAAACATCTCCGATCGGCTCGATCCCTTGGCGTTACGTAGAGATGTGGTTTCACTCTGCATTCTCTATCGCATATATCATGGAGAGTGCTCCGAGGAATTGTTCAGACTAATACCAGCCGCAAGTTTCCGCCATCGTTCATCAAAATTTTCATCCTCATCACCTGGATAGTTGGCGCTAAACTACTGTGTGCTTTTTGAGACACTTTGTGCCCCGTACAACCAATCTGTGGAACGGGTTACCACCTGCGGTATTTTCGGACCGATACGACCTTCAAATCTTCAAAAAAGAGCGCATTCCTTCCTAAAAGGCCGGTAACGCGTTCGTGACTCCTAAGTTGCGGCGGCGATGGTCATTTTCCATCACGTGAGTCCAGGAGGTCCACTTTCCAACAGCTCGTCTGCCCCCTCTAACATAAAAAAAAAGTCTGTTTAAGTGCAACCTCTCCCTACAGTCGGTCTAGAAGATAAAAAAGTTAGCGGAGATTTCGTGCCTTTCCACTTAGTTAATCAAGACAGTCTGCAATAGTTACTATTAAACGGTCTAAAATTATTTCTATATGAGTGCAACATGACTTGATAATAGTTTCAACAAGTAAAAAAATACGAGCCATTGCTGCGTTGAAACACATCAAACCATTGAACATGTAATATAATAGATCAATGCATCAAACATAATGTGTCTATGTGTGTAATTGTATCATACTAAATAGTTTGAAACTGTATGGTCATATTGGCGCCTTAGCTTGTCGAATAGTACCTAGGATTCAGTGAGAAAAATTACATTTTAAAAGCACACAATAACATCACGTGAAATTTAGCTATTGCATTTTTAATGCGCACTAGAAATAACTGAAAAATGTATGCTATTTTGACATACGCTATTATTTTTACAACATATTATTGTATATACGACATGTGCATACCTATCGTTGCGTAATATGCATAAACCAAGAAACTGGTGTAAACTAATATTATCGAAAAATGATTTTGTTATGGTTATGAGGTTATATTGAACAGAAGCTATAATATCTACGTGGGTTTGTTGAGACAATACATGTTTGACAATTACGATTGTATCTTATGGCTTTTAGAATAGTTAAGTATCTTAGTGAATGTTTTAAACTTGAAAGTTGAATTGAATTTGACATGTAATACACACGGGTGGAGCCGCTGTCAAAAGTTAGTAAAATATATTTTAGGTAGGGGGTGACTACAGTATCCTATGTACCTATAAATGCACTTTGTGTGCATGTATCTTTAAATAAAAAGTAAAGTAAGTTTTAAAATGATTAGACTAGATAGACTTTATATGTAAATAATACTTTTTATGGAAGAAAATTCTATCTCTAATGTTTTTCCGTTGGTTATCTAATGTCAGGTAAAACCACCAAATACTTCTTGGGTTAATCTAATGTATTCGGTTTATACTTCTAGCTTAGGTGCTTTAAGTATTATTAAAAATGCGTTAAAATTTTCCATAAAACGAGGAATTTAAAGAGGATGATGAACGGATGGAAGGATGAGAGGACATTATATTCTTAAATAGAAAAAGAAAAGGTTTAAATATTATGTGAGTGGTAATAAAGTAATGTTACTTTTCTTAGTATTGATAAATAGTTTTAAATTCTCTCAATTTTTAGCTTTTTCCTGATTTCACTATTCAAATAATATAACTATATCTTGAGTCATAGCTAGTTGAATTACTGTATGGTATTTTTGGCCTTTCTATAGTTGCATTACTTAAATATTTGGCTTACGGACTACTATAAAAATGGGAATCGTTGGCCGAAAAAGCCGAAAGCTTTCGGTACGTAGGCGGATACAGATCAATAGAATACATGAGAAATAATGTTTTGTTGTTTCTACTCATCACAATCCATTGCATATATGTATTATTATGATTAGTTGCCATACTAATTATACCGATTTTTATCTGATCGTTTAATCCCATTTACCTACTACCATACTACTACCTACTACATTTTCATCAATCATCATCAACAGCCTCTACCAGTCCACTGCTGGACATAGGCCTCTCCTTAGAAAGGAGGTTTTGGGCTACTATACCACGCTGGCCAGACGAGTTGGTATAGGGTTTGTGTCAAGGTTTCCTTCTCTGCAGTGCTATTGTCCTGCGTTGTTTACTCCCTTATTCGCCTCACGAATAGGGGTGATGACACTCTGTATTCTTAATCCGTCACCACACGGACTGTACTGATTTTACTCACATTCAATCAATTAATAGTAATGATTATATGTCAGCAATATTAAAACTCTGTTTTGTATATTTTTTAATACTTACAAGGAGAAGAATAGAAAACAAAACATTTAATTTTGGCTGAGTTGAAGCGATTATTTATTGCTCTAGTATGAGTTGCAAAACCTTTAAAGTAATTTAATTAAGTTTATTTTTCGTTTCAGGTGAAATGTCCGTTCTGTATCTTTTTACTAGATACCGGTTTAACTGGGACGAAGTGGATTACAGCATGTTCTGTACTTATGCAATGGGTACTGCTTTAATAGGTAATTATAATAATTTTTCTTCTTAAAAGTACGAACTGTCGACAATACCCAAATAGCTGGCTTTATTGGTAATTATGTATTTTAATGTTATAAGCTAATCTAATCCGTTTCTTTTCCATTTCAGGTACATTATTCTCCGTAGGTGTCTTCAGTCATTTATTAAAGTTCGACGACGCAATCATAGGCGTAATATCGTGCACTAGCAAAATATTATCAGGATTTATGTATGCCTTTTCTACGAAGACATGGCATATTTACATAGGTCTTTACGAGTTTTAGTTTGTGTTTTTTTTTAATCTTACTAATATATCTGAGGTTTCAAATTTACTTATTATATCTTTCAGCTCCACTGATTGAAATATTTAATGGTACATCATTTATAGCCATGCGGTCTATGGTCTCCAAATTGGTGGACAGAGATGAATTAGGTAAGAAATATTGATATGAGCGCCATCTATGAGCAATGATAAAAATTAATTAACTTTTTTCTGGTTTTCAGCATCTTTATGTTACTATTATTAGATCATCGAATATCTATTCTATAACTAACTTGATATTTTTAAGATTTAATAAATTCCTTGTTTTACCATTTTAGGTCGTCATTTAACATAGTAAATAGTATTAAAATATATAAATATTTTGAACTATGTAGCTTAAAAAGTCTTACAACTCATTGTTCCTAAATTATGTAATCTACTTACTCGATATTTTCCAACTTGTTAGGTATATTGTTATTAAATATCTCTGGTTTATAAACATTTTAGGTAAAGTGAACTCTTTCTTCGGCGTCGCTGAAGCAATGATGCCATTGATATACGCACCGATGTACACCACGCTTTATACAAAAACTTTAAAAACATTCCCGGGGGCGTTCTTCATACTTGGCGGCGGTCTCACCTTGCCAGCAGTAGTTATATTCTTGTAAGTATAAAAAAATATTTGTCTGCTTTAGTTTTAATAATTTGATCAGCACAACAACTCTTTATGTCCGATTGAACGTTATAATTTTTTATGTCATATATTTTCAAAAACATTTGAAGAAATTTATTTATTTTCTTCTAATTTTAGTTATTTATTCATTCCAGTTGGCTGTGGTTAGCTAATAAGAAACACAACGTAGACCACGCACCGCCCAAATCGAGTGAAATCAACGAAAAATCCGGAATAGAAAATAAAGCTTTTGAAGCTGAAGACAGCGAGAAGAAAGCAGATTGTAACCAAAAAGTCGATTCTAAAGACAGTGTCACACAATCACAAATAGAAATGGGATTTTTAGAGAGTATTGTAAATAATAGTAAGATACAACACTAGTTAAGGACAAATGTAAATATAATTTTAATTGTAGGTAATAGAACTAAACGGTGAAGGATAACATCGTTAGAAATTCCAAGTGTTTATACCATATGCGTTCGCTATATAGGGCTACTAGCAATTTAACTTATAAATATCACCAGGCCAACGCGCTTATGATATTTATATAGGACTAAGTTCTAGATAGTCACAAAGCGATTTACGTTAATCTTAAACACTCTTAATGCCATCTATCGAAAATATTATGAATAATAATTGATATCCTAATTACAAGTCGTAGAACCCAAACTAGTTCTCATGCTTGTGTTTTTCTACGTCTATTTTGTAAAACATTTTATATATTATATTATTTATTTATAACCGAATTAAAAAAAACAGCTATGTTCATAATTCGGTTGTATTTTTATTATGTTTGTAACGTGAGAACTCTAACATTAACGAACCAATTTGGATGTTTTTTATTTCAGAAATTAAAAAGAAATCAAGACAATACCACTTGCTATGACCACTGTTGATTCATCTTTAATTATTTGAAAAACTTGTAAGGATTTTGTCTTTGCTTCTTTTTCTTTCAAAACAGTAACCCATATTTATTAGATTTGAAGGTTGTTTTTAAGTTCTGTCGAAAAGACTATACCACTTAATAAAATATGATAATAGTGTTTCTTGTGATATTTTAGATTAGAGTTTGTAGATAGTGTACCTCTTAATAAGTGCCTTCATAAATATTCTGGTATTTTTATGAATAATCTAAAACGAAAAAAACCTTAGGCTGTAGTGACAAAGACAATGAGCTGCGCTCACTTTTTGCGAAAGTGCTGGGAAGCAGCAAAATATTCCGCATGTATGTTGACAAAACAATGTAAGTAACTAACAAAGTATATACCAAATTGTAATTTTTTTTCAGTAATATATATACATACCTACATTTGTTAGTTTATTAAGACAGAATCAGAACGAGACGTTTCTGATCAAAATTTCTATTTTCTGAAATATTGTAATTAGGTAAACATTTATAGAGTTTATCTAAAGGAAACAGCAAACTTAATGACACAATTGAATGTAATTTTGAACCAGGTCTGTAAGTAGGCTACTGCAGATGTAGGTGCTACAGCAAAGTTATTAAAAAAAAACCTTATTTATAAGTTTGCTGGTTGAAACACGGAACAGTGAATATGTTAATTAATTAACAGCAAAACAAATGTATAACTACTTATTCTGGAGTGAGTTGATAGATTTAGATTTCATTTTTGTTGATCAGAAAACTCAAATCACCTATTAATTTATTGTAAAGATTTGGATTTACAACCACATTTTTTTGTTATATATATTTCTAGATAGGCATTGAATCGTAATTTAATCCGTTATGCTTATCTACTCTCATGGGTTTTATCTATGTATACATTTGTATTATTGTTGAAAATCTTATTTATATTTTATAAACTAACATTCAACTTGACATTAATCTAACCTATTACTGTGTTCGAATGTCAAAAACATTTAAAATAGTTATATCCCTAAGTAAATTTGGTGAAATTTTAGTGTATTGTGCCTACAAAAAAATTAAACAATTGGTAAGTAGTCTTTTCTGTTTAATAACTATAACCAAACATGGCAGGTTAGCCACAATATTTTAGTTTTCGTTTTCTGCCAAAATAATATTTATCTACATGTACATGACTATTAAATTTATAATAACAGCATTTCGTGTTTCAAAACATGGCAGTCAAATTTTAAGGAAATAGTGGTAATGTCTTTAATAATATAGAAATATATTGTTATAGGTTACACTACAGCTGTTACCAGCCCAATCCCAAGTGCATTTATTGATTAGTTCAATAATAGCATTTAATATTTCATTGCTAATACAAAGTAGGCAAAAGTAACCATTATTTCAAATTAACTACCTACTTACGTGTAATAATGACGCCTAAACATGGACTTATAAAGTTAACGGCTATCTAACATAAAACTTATTTAATTTTGTTATCTCTATTTTTAACCTGTGATATGTTATTCCTTGATTAATGCATTTCAGCGCAGTAACTGTGTGTGCTTAGATCTATAACTGCAAATATGAAAAGATGATATTATATTTAATATTATAACTGTAAGTACGACTTGATAAGGTTAAACTTTTAATCTTCTTTCTTGTATATGGAAAGTAACTTTTGTTGCAAATCTGTAGTATTTGCAAATACGTACACAATGATTTGATTTATATATGTATTTGTGTATTATTATTATATGTGTATCTTGGACAAATATGAAGTAACTTATTTAAGTAAAGTTTGTTGTAGATTGTATATGAGTACTTATTTGAAAAAATAAAGTGTTATTTTAAGTGTGTTTTTAATAAAATCCTGTTGCATTTTTTATATAATACATACACCTAGTTAGTAACTTCTTTTGTTGACTCAATATATGACCAGTGTTGCCAGCCTAGTGGATTTTCCACTAAAACTGCTGGTTTCGACCCCCTATTAGTGGCGATATATTGCTTTTAGTGATTAGTGGGTTTTTCTAGTGGTTTGGTTCCGGCGCACGCGGTGGGCATCGCTCAGTCAAAAATCTAAACTAATCCCTAGTTTAGATTTTATAGTATAAAAACACAATCACCTGTAATTTATTCACATTATACATATTTCATATGATTTATAAATCGCACAATCACACCTGTGATTAAAGACTGGCAGAAGGTTTCGCCGCGGGCATCGCTTCATCGAGAAATGATGCCGCGTGCGCCGCCGCAAAACACCCTCCATTGCAAACAAACGCGTGCAAAATCGCTTCTCCGTAAACGCACTCATACATCGCCATGTTTAAATGCACTGCGGGCCGCGCCGCACAACGCGACGGGCGACGCCCCGTGTCTCCATAAATGAGGCCTAAGACTTAGCACAATTCATTGATAAATTGCGAAACACGACGATGAATCGATGAACTTAATATTTTTGCAATGGATAGTAAAACACAAGGATAATGTAAAACAAGACGAAAACGAGACAACTTTACTTAAAAAAGTGTAGAATGGCGAATATTTATGTATATAAACAAATAACATTAAATGTAATGTAAATTCTGTATAATGTAGGGTTTCAGGGTTTCAAAGTGTAGTGTGTGTACACTTTTTGGATGTATTTTCCTTCTAATTAAGAATAATTTTACATCACCATTATATTTCTTAATGAAATAATCCTCGGCCTATAGAGTATACCGAAGGGGGTAGTGATTAGAAAAACATAAACACATTTTACATCTTTAATATACATATAAAATTCAAAAACCAATAATTCATAAATGTTTTACAAAACGTTAAAATCTTACAACAATAATATTTCAAACACGCCAAAAGTTAATATATTGAGTAAAAATACTTAAGACAACAATAGATGCCAAAAAGGTTTCAAATAAAATCAATTCAATATTTGTTCACTTTATTGTCATCGACATTCACCATATTTCAGGGATCCATTCAATGGAAAATAAAATTACGCGACTGTAATTTGCCCTTGCCCCATATCATTTCCGTCGGACCATAAAAGGTCACTTACGAACATAGGTTTTGGTTTTATGAGGTCATGGCGGTAAAATAATCGCAATGTGTGACGTAAGTAGTATAGACATAATTAAGCACTTTTTCTTATTATTACTTATAAATCAGTATAGTTCATGTGAATTGCAGTGCATATCATTGTTATAAAATATTTAAACGATTAAAAAAGATATTTCATAATCACAAGTAGCGATGACCACTTTGTGGTATGCCAATGAGTTATGTTTCCATTGATTCGTTTTAACTAGTTTCTGGCTTCCTGAAACGATCTATCAAATGGTTTAGAACAATTTTGGCAACAAAAATTGATAAAGTAAAAATTAAGAAATCTGAGCGACCTCAGGCAGAGTATATTCCTCAGATTTCGGAAGGGACATACTTGTGGAAACATTTATACAGTACACATTACTTCATAGACCCTGTGTGGGATTTCTTCACCGCCGAATGAAATGTACATCGCTTTGTGACTTGGGTGCACCTGTAGATAAGAAATGAGAGCTCGTTAGTGTTATCAAATTCCTTTAAATATTATATATCGGATAAGGGGTCTAACTTTATCGACCCAGCTCCGGTTAACTCGCACGGAGCAGTATGCAATACAGTAACTTCAAATGGAAGAACGCCTAATAGTGATCATGTACGATGTGAAAGTATTGTGAAAATTGAGATATTAAAAAAATTGTACCATGTGTGATCCACGTACCAGAGGTGGTAAGAATAATTTTATTTATAGTATTCTGTCGAACTGAACAAGTGTAGTCCGAGGACTAGATACAGTGGACGTGCAAACAGTAATGCAGGGTTTTTGCGAACACTAGGTTTTGCGCACAGAACAGAGAATTCTTAGTTCTGTGGTTTTCTGTTTTGACCACTAATAATAGCTCGCCTGTGCAGTGTCAGCGTTATCTTGAGAGTTTTTTCCCAGAAATGGAAGCCTCCAATGCCGGGTCATTGCATAAAACATTAAGTCAATTCTTCTGAGACAGCAACGTCATTAACTCACCCATTTGTCATTTTATACAGACCGTTGTGTGACAGCAATAAAATTAAACCTCTAACCTTGCCCGGAGTCAACGATCCACTCTGCTTAGCTCTGCCGACGTACAAAGGTTCACCATCGCTTGTGTTGCCTGCAACTACGGCGTTATGTGGCATAACTCCGTTGCGTGCCTCGACCCAGTGTATTTTTTCAGGACGAGCACAGCACACCTGCAGTACAAAATATACTATTACTTAAGGAACTATCAAGCTCATAGTTCCATTAGTGCGCAGTTCAAATTATTTTTTCTGCAATTTATTTATTCATTTCAATTGTATAATCTAAATATTCCACACATATTGTTTATTAGTTACCGACAGACAGACGGCGGTGGACTGTTTTATAAAATGTAGTTTTTATGCATTTATAAATACTTTAATAAATTTACAATATTATAATAATACTATATCCATGAATACATACAATTCTAGTCATATCATATAACGCGCCCCGCATCGCTCCCGGTGCAAAGGTGACCATGATACTGGCAGCATTGCCTCGCTTGATTGCGACATCCTTGCACCAGGAACGAGCCGGAGTGGGAGTCACCACCTTTATCCCTAACTCGGCGACCTATCTCCGCAATTAAACTTTTAGCTTCCGACCTCCAACTGCCCATAGTCTCCACCGCAATGGGCACAAAATAATAATGCGTCGTCATTGCGGCATATTTTAATTGTTTCCTAGTAGCGGCATCCTCTGCCGCCGCCGGAGCGTAAACGGTGCGACACAGATGTGAGGTCGCGATTGTACTAATGCACACAAAGCACTTGCCGTTTTTCCGCGGCCCTAAAGTCAAGCCGTCCGGCCGCTTTCCTTCAGATCTGTTGAGACTCGATGTCTCCAGCACGCAGGGTACATTAGCGGATATAAAAGCTCTTCGGACTATGTCGTTGAGGGCATGGTGTCGTGAAAATCTACCCGTGCTGAGTTGACAACCTAGTCCGTGATGGCCATCGGCCTCTGCCATGGTGCCGCAGGTGCATCTATGTGGTTCACACACCTTGCAGCCCAGGCGAAGAGCCACTGCCACACGCAAAAAGTCATCGTCTAGCAAGGTGACCAGGTGAGTTGACGGGAGTTCATATAGACATGATAATACAGCTTTATAAGAGGTTATGCTCGCGTGAAAAATTGGGTCAAGTGTTTAATATTAATAAATACAATAAAGTCCTGACGACTTTACATTTATATTCTTCATAGACTACAATTTACTAGAAGTGACATTGCAACAATCTAATTTTTTAAGTTGCTGTTCTATATGCTCAAGTATCATAAAATATTTTGATTCTATTATTACTTGTAAGAATTACCTCTCATTAAAATATAATAGGGAAGGTAGGTATATAATATTTAAAAATAACATACAATTAAAAACAAGTAAGTTTTAACTAATTACTTTCAAAAATACAAATTCTGCACTTAACATTAATATATCTCTTTGTTAGTGGTTAAATAAATATTTGAATAACAGACAAAACAGAAAACAAGGATGACTATACCTCTATGTTCTGTACGCTGTTTTCCTTGCCTCCCCATGGTACATAAGCAGACCTATGCTTGATGGCCAGCTTGCCGGGTATAAGGTCACCCTCGAACCTTGACCTGATCACCCAAAGGGGGCTTCCGTCGTGACCTTCATAGCCGGCAACAACTGCTCTATTGGTTAGTTGGGCCGCGTTGTTAGGCGTGGTGGGTATCCATTCCACAGTGGCTAAAAATAGATTACATGTTTTGTGTAGAAGTATTTCGTTTGTATACAATTCGGCTTGGGTATACATAGGTAGGTGGATTATTAATAATAGTCACAGCATTTCGTGGTGAATAAAAAATGAAACTCCATGTATATGTATAAAAAGAAGAAATTCTGAAATGTACAAGCGTTGTAAAAGTAGGAATTCCATTTGTTTATCCACTTTTGTTTAGAGATGATGACTAAGAAGGAATGAATCGTAAGGATTTAAGTATATCAAGTTATGAGTCTGATCTACCTTCGTTTTTATTAATTAGCATCCTATTCCCTTCAATACATTGCACACTTTGGAAGTATTTGTTGTTAAATAATAGATATGCTAAGCTGGTTAGTCACCATTACTTAGACTAAATATTACGGTAATAAGTAGGTACTTACGTTCGTAGGGATTAGTGGGAGTTACGTTCGGAAATCCTCCTTGAAATCCGAAGCCAGGGCCGGGAGGTGGTGCAGTAGGAGCCATTGGGTTTACGTTTGGATACGACATCGCCGCAGGTGGCTGGCCTTGTTGATACGGGTATCCAGGTCCCGGTTGGAATTGCCCTTGGTAAGGGTAGCCAGGTTGTCCAGGCTGTCCAGGCTGCGGTGGCGGTGCATTTACTGGATTGTAAATTTGCGGGTAAATTTGACCCTGCGGTGGGGGATATTGAGGGCTTCCGTACGGATCTGAAATGTTTAGATAAAACATATGCAGTCTTTAAAACACGATATTTTTGAAGTACAAAATAAAAATAGAAAATGAAAATGTTATGTTTTCTTTGTCCCTGTTTAAAACTATAACAATCTTTTATCTTTATGCTATATTTGAACGCAAAAAATCTCACGTAATATCAATATAAAAACAGTAATTAATATAAGTACCTATTATTTGTAATATTTGATATAATCACCTCACCGGTCTCAAAAATAACCAGCTAGTGATAGGTAAGAAATGATACCACATCTTATAATTATTTTATCTTAAAATTGAACTCTCCCGGTTTCCGAACTTAATGAAATCTTGCATACATTTGCTCAAACTTACTTTCTAGAATAAAACTCGTATGATCATTAATAAAAAAAATAATATTTACAACTTATTATCATTCATCAAACAATGAAATTCAGTAAAAAAATTCGTCATTAGGTGACTAATGTTGTGACTCAATAATTTGTATTATAATATGTAATACATTTTGTTATTCTTTGGATGTAGTGTAAGCGTACATACGATTACTCAGTAGGTATTTAACCGAATGTATAATTATGTACTCTTAAATTTTGGGACATATTATTATGACGATATTAAATGAAACTTCATACTGTAAGAAATATTTTTATAAAAATAGATGAGACAAACAGCAATACTTAATTGGATACCTACCAATACTATCTTGGAATCCCTGATTGTTGTAGATTTCAGGTTCAAGGGTAACTACCTAACTGATTGGTTCATCACGCACCATGCGACAATGTCTAACTTGGGCCATTTGATGGATTTTATGTAAGAATGTAACACTTTATCTTGTAGACTTGCGAGGTATAACTATACGATATTTTTAAATGAAGCAACTGAAATCAACTATCACATCAATTTTAGGTACAAAATACGGTTTTTCGGCTTCACAGCTGTTTAGAGGTAGCCATCGGAATTTTCACATCCCACTATTCTAAACAACAATACATCTTTATTGGTTTCTTTACCTACTTCTATAAAATTAACAGGTAAGCATTCTTGAATTAGATTAATATCACTGACTGGCATCAGTAGGACGGCGCTGCACCGCTGATTACGGTAAATGTCACAGAACAGTATAACTGTTCTGTGGTACGTGTGATAGCGCGTCTGCCGGGCCGTTTTATTTTGATGTAACAAATTTAATTGTATAGTCATCAGTCTGTCAGTACAGTCATCTAATGGTTAGTGGTCGGTCCTTAGTTCGAATGTCCTACCATAGACGTATTGGTACTGAATAATGACGCCGTAAAATGTTGCTCAACCCTCCTTATCAATTTGATTATAATTACGCTCGGCCCAATTGAGTGTGCGCGACACACAGTGACAACTAACGATGTAAAAGTAGCAATAATTTCCATGAGTAGTAACCAGATACTGTGACGATGTAGCTTTGAAATCATTAGACATTTGAAAGTAAACACATAATTTATTATGTATTGTGTCAAACGCGTCGCATAAATACCGTCGCTACTATTAGACAAAGACAAACACATGCGACGGGCCAGCGCTGACTACCATTTGAATTCTTACCCATAACAGTCCATTTTTGCATTTAATTTTCATTTTTGTAACCGAACAATTTTTGTAATAAAATAAATAAATAAAATTATTTAAAAAATGTATAATTAAATTATGGCATGACTAATAAATTAATTAAACAAGTTTTCTTAGAATAGTTATTATTTTACAGTAAAACCAAACTACTTTGAAGCATCATTAGGTATTTTATACAATTGTCTTTTAGACTCTTTGTTGGAAATTTGAGTGATTAATTTACTTTCATGATACCTACCATCTCATTGTTAAATAATATGTTTAAATAATGTAATTACTTAATAAAACTGAATGATCAACTATTATTAATGATAAAATAATACTCGGGGTGTATTGTTTTCAATATTATTTTGCATTCGAATTTTTGCCAGCCATTAATGCACTTTTAGATATACTGTAAAACTATTTTTATAAAATTGATAAATAAGAGATGCAATAAATTATGTTTTTCAAAAGATCGGTCGGAGATCGGTCCAATCCTGTCAGCTACCATACTTTATTGTAAAGAAAAAAGTTAAAGATCAAAAATTTTCGACATAACATCACATCGGCAGCAAAAATCTGAATTACGGTGACTTCGTAAAATATTTGTATTTTGTACGATATGCATATATATATATGCGATATGCATACATGATATAATTTAATCAATGTTTAAACATTATCAATACAAAATTCGGCAGTCGGGGCAAAAAGCCGTTTAATGAAAGAGATTAGGTCTTACCTATTCTGCGTAGTTTTACTTTCTGCTTTTACAGAAATCGTTTTTCTTGTTAATATTTATCTAAACTACAATACAATATACCTACATAGTTTTTTACTGACGTGATTATCTCATGCTCTGGCCCTCATTTATGTAAAATACAAAAATTACAATCTGAATCTAATAGTTACAAAATTCAATTCAAAATCTAACAACGGAAACAACATAATTAAATATTTTGGTCATGGTGTAATATTATATATTATGTTTTTATTTTTTTGTGTCATTATATACATAGTACATTATATACATACTCTCACGTGTTTATCCCTGAAGGGGTAGACAGAGGCGTACTAGGGCACAGCGACATTTCTCCGCGAGCTTTTTATTCGCGCGGAAATAAATCGCTACCGTATCGCGTTCAATTTGCATCAAATTACAGGTTTTTTTTTTGAGCGATTTTTTTTCTGCCAGTGCGGATAAGTCTGTATAATCCTATATGTCACAGAATTTAGCAAAAAAAACGCGCGGTTAAATATTTTTTATAAAGAAAATAATATTGGCGACTAAAAATAAGTATAGTCTCACTTACGTAATAGGGGGGGTAAGACTTATTGCCGACATTCACAACCTTATATTGCCAGATTAATATTACAGAATAATCAAAATATCCTGTAATGCAATTTACCAAAAATGTAAACTTAATAGTCACTTAGAGCACTGATAATTTTTATTTGTGTTGATTGGAATTGTAAAAAATTCCTTATCGCGCGTCACTCGCTCTCAGCGGATGGGAGCGTGAATAAAAAATTAAGAAGGTACCTAACAAGACTTTTTTCCGACCCTTTAAGTTTAAAGCAGATCATACTTGTATAGCAAACCAAAAAGCGAAAGGAACTATTTTTATATTTAGTACATTATGTTTATTTAGCAATATGTATGTATGTGTGCGGCTGGTTCACTGTTAAGTAAGTGGGTCTATAATTATTTGTTTTTGGCAAAATACAAAAGTTTAATAATTACTAATTAATCACCAATTATTCAATGATTTTTTATTATTCAATTAAAAATGCATCTTAATAATCTCTAATTAATTATAGTATGACAGTATGCTTATATTATTAGTCTTACATTCAGACAAGTTATCTGGTAGGTACCTAGGTCGGTATAATATATCAAGTAGCGAATACATGGTGCAGATCAAAGTCTGTTTTGTAAGGAAAAAAACTAGGTACATCCTTCTACACGAAAAAGTAGGTAACAATAGGTGTAACTTCGGTTTATTTATTTTAAGGCAATGGAATGATAAATACCTATTGTGAGTAGTAACTATTTATTGAAAATAGTTATAGTTGAGTATTTAGGTTATTCATGATTAATAATATAAATATAATAAAGTAATTTACTTATAATATTGTTTGTTTTCAGGTACTACATTTCAATTGACATCGTTACTTGTAATATTCCTCTATTACTGCGTATTTATGATATTAATACCTAATTCTTAAACATTTTGTAGTTAAGGATTTGAAATAATAAAAACGTTATCGAATAAATTTTTGTCAGCGGAGGCCCCGGTGGCTCGTTAGAAATTAAAAATAACATTCAAGGTCAATCTTAACTCGAAACTAACAGCGTCTTGTATTGGTAGGGTAGGTATATAGGTTGCTTAGATTTTCTCTTAGGTATTACGATACCTATAATAAAAAACTACCGTTTAATAAAATTGTGTTACATAACTAAGTTTGGTTCTTATTTCATTTGAATCTCATAAAAATGTTTTAAAATGAACACAGGTTTTAAAAGTAAAATATTTAGAAAACTAATAGTCCCATAAAGAATGGGCTACGCATGTAACGACTTTCAAGTTTTCTAGTTTGATAACACAACGTCAAGTTACTGAGTTTAATCATATTAGTAGAATATACATTAAATGGGTCAAAAAACAGTATTCGTATAAACTACTTATTTCTTCAAAATGCGGCAGTTTGTTTCCGGTAGGTAATCTTAACAACGCACAACCCAAAAATGGGTGTTAAACAATCTACAAAAGTTATAGTACTCGTTTAATACTTACATCCAGACATTTTCGGTCAACAACCAGTAGATGCTCTAGGAATGACAAATACACTGTTTTCTTTATCTACGATTTATTTACAGCACCTCGGTAATAACAGTTAATGCAACCATAGACTAGATGCAGCGCCCAATGAGATTCAACAACGATATAATATGTAAAATGCCTCGTACATTATGTTATGTTTGTGACGGCGTCGGAGAGGCGTCTGTTCATAGACAAAAGATTTACCCTGACGTCATGTTCATAGAGAATGACAAGCCCATCAATCTGTCTGGCGTTAAACTTTGTTTTAAATCTCAATTTTTATAGTTTTAGGACATAAGTAACAGTACCTAATAGTAGAATTAGCAGATGGATTATTATGTTTGAATAAGAAATGAAAATGAATCAGAATATCATAGAAAATTTAGGCGAAATATATTACAACTGAAAAACATTTTAACTAGCGACATCTAGTTAAGAGCATTCACAACAGAAGTCAGACACATCAGATTTGAAGTGTTACCAGTTTGTTTTACCGCAGGTAGTTTAAGAATTGAAATATAGAGGGCATCAAATGATAAAATGATGTAATTTTAAAATTGTACATTTGAAACGTAAATTAGTTACTAGTTTTTTTTTGTAAAAACTGTTTGTATTACCTAAGTAGGAACTTACTTACTGTTGATTAGTCCGCCATGTTACTATTTCGTAAAATACGTTTTTATTCAAATGGAAATCTAAAAAGTTAAATTTCTTGGTCACCAAAACAATAATCAACTATATTGGGAACCTTTATATTAACTATTGATGAAATTCTAAGATAAAAAAAAACACATGAGCCTAGTTGGAAGGGTACTTTTGGAAGCAAAACCTCTCATGCATCAAACATTAAGGGAGTACGAGTTGTTCATCAACATAACTATAATTAATCGAGTTTGAATTTTAGAAATCGGGAGAAAGTAGTAAGTAGATGTCCCTATGCAATTACTATTTTACTATAGATATAAGCTGCAGTTGACACAATCATGTTAACCGCAAACGGATGGTCTGCATCATGGGTGATAGATGAATGCAGGACGCCAGAAAACGCATAAATACAGTTGTAAAAAATCGTAATATTAATTTTTCATTTTGTCTAAAAAATTTAAAATAATGTTAATAATATCGTATCCTAACAACCCCTCTTTTCACTTTTTGTAACATAAGAAACAATAAGATATATGTATTATAATACTTCGTTATTAATTTATCATACTAAATGGTGAGAATATGTCTGATGTTTTCTGAAGAGGGCTCGGACTTTCTGGCAATAGTCAATTGGCGTTATTTTATTATGCAGGTATGAACTTGAGTTGCTCGAGCTGTTGCTTGCATTTCCCAATCCATCTGTATTTTTCTATCTACATTTCCTATTAATATACTCCCAATTTTCCCATCTAACCCCTAATGTGTACGGTTAATAGCAAAAGGCTTTTCCCCATTACCAAAGTGGATTAAATTTAGGATTGGCAAAAATGGGTAGGTATGTAATTTAATACGCTGTGCTTTCGTAAGTTAGCGTAAAGTGAATGTGCGTGTGTGTGTGTGCGTGCGTGTGTACGTGCGTGTGTACGTGCGTGTGTGTGTGGGTGTGTGTGTAGTGTGTGTATGGGTGTATGTGTGTAGTATGTGTGTGTTTGATGGGGTATTTATTAGTACGATTATTATACAAGATTATCATCTGTAATTGTAATTATTTTACATGTTATGCAAAATTTTGCAGAAAGCGTTAAATGTAATATAAAAATGTCATTGTCCTTTGGCAAAACTGCTCTCATAATAAAAACAAGATAGAACAGAGCAATCTCACCCGTGCTTGTTGGACAATGTTGCATTTCTGTGTAGCGAACAGTGACTTCAAATTTCTGTCTGAGATTTTAGATCTCCCAAGGGAAATAAAGTTACTTAGAGAGGTATTTGTCCCAGTATCTATTCGTCTGTACCTTAGCTTCAAGTGCTTAAGACATCTCGGTTGTACTATTGGTAGGTACATGATGTAGGTATGTTTTGTTATCACCATACATTTTGCGGGTTCTACATCTGGTACTTGTTTTATGGCGAGGATACATGAAATTAAGAATACCTAAATATTTTACATATAGGTATATTTTTTAAAGTTATGCTTGGAAGAGAAAAGTCATTTAGAATACCTAAATATTCCACATGCTTAAAACTTTCTTCATCATCATCATCATCAACAGCCTGTAACAGTCCACTGCTGGACGTAGGCCTCTCCTTAGAAAGGAGGTTGTGGCCTACTATACGCTGGCCAGACGGGTTGGTATAGGGTTCGTGTCAAGGCAGTCGTCGGTTCCACGGCGGCTCATTCCCCGCCCTTGTCGCTAAGAGACAAGGGCACTGGATATGTTGCCGCCGAGTGGGGGGGGATCACCATATATGGTGTTTATTTCTCCCCCAATCGGAGTTTGAACGACTTCGAGGTTTTCCTAACCAGCTTGGAGACCTCGATACGGCGACTAGCGTCTGGGCACGTCCTTGTGCTGGGGGATTCAGTGCAAAGTCCATTACGTAGGGTTCCCCCAGGATGGACGCAAGGGGCGAGGCCGTAGAGGAGTGGGCGGCCTCGGTGGGCCTCTGTCTTCTCAACAGAGGCTCCACCAACACGTGCGTGCGACAGCAGGGGGGGTCGATAGTGGACCTTTCGTTCGCTACCCCTGCCCTCGCCGCACGAGTAAGGAACTGGCGTGTCCTGGAAGAGGTTGAGACGCTCTCGGATCATCTGTATATCCGATTTGAGCTCTCCCGGACCCAGGACTCCAGTAGGGGTCACGTGGCGCGGCGCTTATCCCGCTTTCCGCGGTGGGCTGTTGCCAGACTGAACCGGGACCTACTAGAGGAGGCAGCCATAATTCACTCGTGGCTGTCTCCTCAGGCTCCGACCGAGGAGGTCGACGTGGGAGCTGGTCGCTTTCGCGATGCGATTACGCATGTCTGCGATGCGGCCATGCCCCGCATTCGAGGTCGTCGGCCTCCAAGGAAGGAGGTCTACTGGTGGTCCCAGGAGCTGACGGACCTCCGTGCGGCCTGTACAGGTGCCCGGAGGTCCTACACGCGCAGTCGGCGCACTGTGGAATATTTCGGTGTGTTTCGGATTAAAAATCTGTAACTCCGTCAATTCGAAAGATAAAGCTATCAAATTTTGTTCTAATATAAAGTAATACATAAGAGTTCATATAAGTAATGTTTGATGAATTGGAATGATGCGTATTTTTTTTTAATGGATGAAGAAAGTAACAACCATTAAAAATAAAATTCATTTATTGAAATATATTTTTTTACAAACATATCATATGTGTATTTTTTAATTCTAATAACTCAATTAAGATGATTAACATTAAAATGATTATATAAAATTAGAAATCTAAAAATACCTGTAACACTACGCTTAAATATAGAAACATATTGAATTAAAATTATCGCAATATATATATTTTTTATTATTTACTATCTACCACTATACCAGATGACAAAGCCTGTAAAATTATGTATAACCGTTTAATTAAATCAATGTCAACTCCTGTGATATCAGCAGAACAGGCAGCATTGTAAAAAAATCTTCTAGCAGTATTGCCATCATTACTATTTCCCGTCCCCTGTCGTGGTTTGTCAATATATAGACCCAACTTCACGAAATCGCTTCTGTACTTCAGCCTTTTTTTCTTGTTTGAGTCTTTTTTTTTCTTCGCTTGTAGCAGACCACGTTTGGAAAGATAGATTATATGATATGTGTAATATCATTTCCATGCAACGAATCCAGGCATGTAATGTGGATAATCCGTATTGATAAGCATTTTCATTTTTAGGCCTGGCTGTTACTTTTGTTAAATCATTCATTTGTCTAGGAGTTGCTCCGCATATTGTACATGTGGAACTAGAAGGCGTATCTGTTAAAACTTGTGCCACTTTTCCGTCTATCATCGTCAAAAAAAGTTCATGCTTGACTTGAACTCCCATGCCTTCTTTATTAATTACTGATGGAAGCAAAGTTTGTATTTGTTTTTTTATTTCATCTACAACAGATTTAGTTTTTTCTGGTGTTTCTTTGCAAAATTCTATAGATATAGGCCGACAAAAACGAACAGATGAAGGCACTGGATTTTGCCATATGATGGCACCTGTTTCCTCGTCAATTAATCTGATAGGTACAAAAGAAGTAATAAATAAATTTGCATCGGAAATAAGTTCAGACTCCTCTGGTAGAGGTTGCTTGTACTGGCTTTGTCCAGATGACCCATCACAACCCCATTTGCTATATAATATTAAATGTTTTTGTCCATTCTTGTAAACTGTATCTATACATAAAATTCGAGCTGCAGTGTGATCTAACAGATCTTGAACTCTCAATATTTTTGCATAAGTATTTGTGATTTCGATTGTTGATGATGGTGGATAGCATCTCTGTTTCATTTCTTGTATTTTGTAGTATGGTGGAAATAAAGAACAGTTTCTTTCATCTGTAACGTTCCTGAGATACAGATATTGTACCTTTGTTAGTTCCAAGTCGATGAAGACACTTAAGGCTTCTTCATCTGTAAGCCCTTTAATTATTTTTGCATCATCTAATTGATTTAAAACGAAAACCTTTTTCTCTGCATCAGCCAACCTTAATTTTTCAAAAGCTTTTGCTTCAGTTCCTTCTCCTATAGAACGCAATCCTTGAAGATATGCGCTTAGAATGTGCTCCAAACCATATTCATTTAGCAAAACGGTGTTTTTCCTTTTTTTGCTCGATTGTGAAGAGTCTCCATATGACACACACGGTCTTCCTCTTTTACCAGAAGAAGTAGACGGTGTAGAGTCCGTTGACACGTTTTCTGATGTTGGTATGGTTAACGAATATTCAGAATCCAACCAATTGGTGTTCTTTCTTAAAAAGGTATTCTTATTGCGTCCTGCTTCACTCCAGCGTTTATTAAACGATGGGATGATATCCCTTTGAATATGACCAATAATAAAACATATATT